CATTTTATAATTGAGCCCTAAACGCTCTTGCCAAGTGTCTTCGTCCCTCCCTCTCAAGCCCTAAAGAAACTCACAGTCGAAGTTTCAACCTCAAAGCAATGTTGTCGACTTCATACCACTCTAGCCTAATAAAGAGCTACAATCGAATGGAAGATGTTAGTGTGGTAAGCCATTGTGCGCAAGTTGGAATGTTGGAGGTGATGTCTTTTTTGGTTAATGAAGCTAGAAAAATCATTGATGATAACATGTTGCTAGGAGGTCACATTGCTACTAGATGGAATATGTTCTTGTCTAGAAAAATGATTATTTTTTTTATTGGATGTGTCAGTTGAATAAACTCCCATCTTGTATTAATTTGGAAGCTAAATGTATCGATAAGCCTTTGGTTCTTTGCTCATCATGCTTTTTACGTTGTGAAGAGTCTTCACATTTTTATTTCTTGTGATTTAGCATCAACTTTAAATGTTTTTTTTAAGAAAGTGGTGTGATCTAAATACTCTGAATTTTACAGCCGTGTTTGATGTTGTGTAATGGATTGATACTATTCATCTGTCTATTTCTAGATGTCTGGGGTTGGTGGTGATTGTAATTACTATGTGGTTGGTTATTTGGAATTTTAGAATGGTACCATTTTTTATGATCATAGTTTGAAAATGGATGCTTTGAAGAATTTGATAGGAGAGCATTCATTTTTTTTGTGTATAGGAATAGGAACCTTAATGTTACTTGGGTTGAGTGGCTTCTAAACCTTATCATGTATATTCATTTGTAATCCCTTTGTTGGCATTTTGTTAACGTGTTAATATATAATCATTCAGTTGTTCAAAAAAAAGTATGGAGCTGGAACGTAACTTTGACCTTGGCTTCGGTATCACCTGAAACAATCTCGGTTGGAGACCCGAGAAAACACTAAAGTTAGTCTTTCATACGTGAATGTGTCTAAGAATCAATGTAAGAGTACTAGGGTTTGTGTATCCTCTCATGTGCATCGTACACCTATGCTATTTATAAGGCATGGAACAATACATACATTGTGAATCGGGACCAAGACTTTTGACAACGTATGTGTTTTTTTTTTCAAATAAAGATAACGATCTTGATGACACAGTGCAAAATATATGGATAAATACTTACAACATGTACTATATCCATTTACTAAGTGGGTTGAGGGTTGGAATGCATTTCAACAAGTTTATGAACCCCTTCATTTCATTCAAAATTAGTTGGTTGTACATCATGCTTTAAAACTTATACTAAATTGTGTTTGTGTGTTTGTACATCATGCTTTGAAACTTATACTAAATTGTGTTTGTGAATTAGTTTTCTATGTTTTTAATGTTTTTATTAATTAGTTTTGAATGATTTTAATTAGTGTGTATTTATTTTAAAATTAAAAATTGAGTTGGTTTAATGGATTGGGAAAAAGAGTTTCCATGTGTTTTGAGTTGGAAAAGATGGAAGAGATATAAGAGAAAAAAGTTGATGCGGAGGTGGATTGATAGGATTGGAAGGGAAAGACTCTCTCCACCCTAAGGCTTGGTGGTGCACCTCCATAACACTAGACCTTCAAGTGGTCTCCTCTTACATGCTTTTTCATCACCCATCTACATATAAAACTAGGCGAATGCCCGCGCGTTGCGTGGGATATAAAAAAATATTTTATATTAAAAATAACTAAATCATTGTTATTAACAATTAAATAATAATTTCATAAAAAATATAAAAAATGATTTTTAGTATTGTTATTATGTTGAACTATATTTATAAGAGATAAGGTTGGAACTTGAAGTTGTTTTGCATATACAAAGTTATATGATTAAAATAGAAAAAAAAAATTAAAAATAAATAAATCGTTATTGTTATCTAATAAATAATAATTTCATATTAAATTAAAACGTTTATATTAAATATTATCATTATGTAGAAAATACGATAATAGAGACATCTTTTTATCTATCTTAAATTTTATCATTTTGTACAACATATGATAATAGAGACAACTTTTTATCTTAAATAGTAAAAAAAATGTTTTGTATCATAAATATTACCATAATTATGTAAAACATATGATAATAGTGACGTCTTTTATAAGGTTAAAACTTTAAATTGTATTACATACAGGGTTGTAAAACTTGGCTAACACAACCAAATACTCGGCATGTTACTTAAACTCGGCCTCAAATGGAAGCGAGTTTGCCTAACTCAGCCATAAGACACTCAGATCCTTATTAAACTCGATCCAAATCAAAAAGATACAGTCCAAAATCATTTTCGAAATTCTTAAATTTAATTGGTCACTTGTCGACAAAGACAATCTCACCAAAGAATACACTCAACGTCCTACAAAGTTAGATGCAAGGAAGATCTCATGGCTTAGTCCCTTTAAAATATTTCACAACCTTTCCTATTTATAGAGGAGAATACATTCTCTTGTTTACTCTCACGATCAATGTGGGATGAAGACATTTTATTAAACTCATTTTTTTATTTGCCAATAATTTCATTTTGTTAAATAAAATATTAAATAATAAAAATAAAACGTTATCCAGAAAATTTATTGTTCAATAGTTCCATTTTTCAGTAATCTCGTAAGTTGCTATAAAAAATCAAGTTTTTATTGAATAACTTTTTGTTAAATCCTAAAATCATAAATTCAGTTAGGTACTTAATATAGAAAGTTTGTTTATATGTATTTTCATGATTCAAAATGTCATTATAAAATGAATTCATTTATAAAATATAATCGAGTATATACTTCGTGTTTTTGAATCAAAGTGATTTTTCAAACAATTATAATTTTATGTTTAGGTAGATTTTTTTATATTTATATAACATTATGTAACTTATAATATTATTATAAACAATTTGAATAATCATGAGAGTTTCAAATGTATGTGGTGAAAGGAAAATGCTTCATTTATCGGTCCAAATTGATCAAACTCGGACTGATTCAGCTTAATATACCAAACTACATAATGTTTTTTCTATTGAAACCCGGTTTGTATATATTTTGTGTTTTTTAATCAAATTTATTTTTCAAACAATTATAATTTTATGTTTAGGTAACTTATTTATAATATTATTAGAAACAATTTGAAAAATCATGGGAGTTTCAAATGTATGTGCTGAAAGGAAAATGCTTCCTTTATCGGTCCAAATTGATCAAACTCAGACCGATTCAACTCAATATACCAAACTACATAATGGTTTTTCAACCGAAACTCTGTTTGAACCTAAAAAAATCTTGTTCAAAACCATTTTCGGGATTCTAAAACTTAAATGGACAGTTGCCAATAAAGACAATCTCACCAAAGAATACCATCAACATCCTAAAAAGGTAGGCATAAGGAAGTTCTCATGGTTTGATCCCTTTGAAACATTTCACAACCTTTCCTATTTATAGAAGAGGAAACGTTCTCTTGTTTACTCTCAACATCGATGTGGGATGAAGACATTGTAATAAAACACGCTTTCTTGTTAATAAAACATTATTCAACTTATTTAGTAAAACACCATTTCTCTTGTTTACCCTTTCTTTATTGTTCAATAGTTCCATTTTTCTATAATCTCGTAAGTTGCTATCCAAAAAAGTAAGTTTTTATTGAATAACTTTTTGTTCAATTCTAAAATCATAAATTCAGTTAGGTACTTAATATAGAAAATTTGTTTATATGTATTTTCAAGATTCAAAAGTTCATTATAAAAAGAATTCATTTATAAAATATAATCTGCGTATATATTTCGTGCTTTTGATCAAATCGAATTTTCAAACAATTATAATTTTATGTTTAGGTAGATGTTTTTTTTATATTTATATAACATTATGTAACTTTTTTAAAATATCATTGGAAACAATTTGAAAAATAATGAGAGTTTCAAATGTATGTAGTGAAAGGAAAATGCTTCTTTTATGGTCCAAATAGATCGAACTCGGACCGTAACAACTAAATATACCAAACTGAATATTTTTTTTTCTAGTGAAACCCGGTTTATATATATTTCGTGCTTTTGAATCAAAGTGATTTTTCAAACATTTATAATTTTAGGTTTAGGTAGATGCTTTTTTATATTTATATAAAATTATGTAACTTATTTATAATATTATTAGAAATAATTTGAAAAATCATGGGAGTTTCAAATGTTTGTTGTGAAAGGAAAATGATTCCTTTATCGGTCCAAATTGATCCAGCTCCGGTTCAACTCAATATACCCAACTACATAATTTTTTTTCTAACTGAAACACGGTTTAAACCTGAAAAAATTTGGTTCAAAACCATTTTTAGAAATCTAAAAGTTAACTGGACACTTGCCAATATAGACAATCTCACCAAATAATACCTTCAAAATCCTACAAAGGTAGGCATGAGGAAGTTCTCATGGTTTGGTCCCTTTGAAACATTTCACAACCTTTCCTATTTATAGAAGAGGAAACATTCTCTTGTTACTCTCACCATCGATGTGGGATGAAGACATTGAATAAAATACCCTTTCTTGTTTATAGAACATTATTTAACTTATTTATAATATTATTGTAAAGAAATTGAAAAGTCATGAGAGTTTCAAATGAATGTGGTGAAAGGAAGTTAAAAAAAGGGTTTCAAATGCATGAGATTCAAGAAAAATGCTAGCTTTATAAGTATGTATGTATGATATTTATAATCTCTTGATACCTGGAACCTAATGTCATCTTGGGATACTCAGGTGTAATATACTTGTACCCTGCTCGTGTTTCGAGATATTGAAATGAAATAACTCCTTATTAATAAAGCATTAACTTTACATTAAAAATTAATAATTTTAGTTATAAAAATTTTAGCCATAAATTCTTATTGTTACAATTTTCAAAAGACCATGTCTGTTTTCATCCGATCTATATGGCATATGCACTTCTATATTGGTGGAAAAGATTATCACAAAAACATAAAAAAATATAGTTAGAAACCCTAGACCCTATATTGGTGGAAAAGATTAAAACAAATTGGGCCACATTGTATACGGCCCAACCCAAATCAGGAAGACACAGAACTCGTTATAGTTAGAAACCCTAGACCCTCCATTTGATTCTTTCTCGGGGTGGCCTTCGCAGAACACACTAAATTTTTATCGGCGACGCCTGCAGCAGCAGCAATGGTAAGTTTTCGCCGCCTGTTTTACTGAAACCATGCGTTCACAGGCACCGGCGAACGTATACACATCTCTTACGATCGAGTTTTTCTATATCGATGTGCTAATTTCTTATTGTCGGCGATGATCTCAGGTGAAGTACTCGAAGGAACCAGAAAACCCCACCAAATGTAAGTCTTTGAGTTATGTTTTGATTCTGGAAAATAAAACCTATCTACTACTTAAGATTCGTAGTTTCAATAGATGTTTAGAACTCAAAGTTTGATTTTAGGTGTCTATACTTACACTAATTGGATTGTGGTTTTGTTGATTATATTCATCAGCTTGCAAGGCCAGGGGATCTGATCTCAGGTGCCATTTCAAGGTAACATTTCCTTCAATTCCTCAACACAACGTTATTTTCTCAACTTTAACCAATGAAATTTTACTGTAATCGTACTACTTGTTCGGATTGTTAACCTAATTAGCTTTTTTTTCACTGAATGTTTCAGAACACTCGTGAAACAGCACATGCTATCCGAAAGCTGCCTTTATTGAAGGCGAAGAGATACTTGGAAGATGTTTTGGTCCATAAACAAGCCATTCCATTTACTCGTTTTTGCCGTGGAGTTGGACGAACTGCACAAGCCAAGAATCGTCATTCCAATGGACAAGGACGTTGGCCTGCTAAATCTGCAAAGTTCATTCTCGATCTTCTAAAGAACGCCGAGAGTAATGCAGAGGTAAACAATCACTAACGCTTCATCAACATCCATATTAACATAATATTTTCTTAAATTCTAACCTATAAAGTTTTATTCTGTTTAAAAACTGGTTTTAGGTGAAAGGATTGGATGTCGATGCTCTTCACATCTCCCATATCCAGGTCAACCAAGCCCAAAAACAGAGGCGTCGGACATACCGTGCTCATGGAAGAATCAATCGTGAGTCACCCACTTTATATGTTTATTAGAATATTTGGGTTTAATCGAGTGATGAATGATAATGGAAACCTGTGTTTTCTGTTCAGCTTACATGTCTTCTCCTTGCCATATTGAATTGACCTTGTCTGAAAAAGAGGAGCCTGTTAAAAAGGAGGTGGGTTGTTTGGTCTTTTTACTAATCTTTGATTGTGGACATTTTTTTTTGTTTTGTTTTTTTTTTTGCTAACTATGAATATGTTGCAGCCTGAGACTCAGTTGGCACCAAGAACCAAGAAGAACCAAGCTTAAGTGAAGTTGAGTGGTAGAAAGGATTCAGTTTTTGATATCTGAAAACTCTGTTTCTGTTTTTAAAGATTTGTTATGCTCTATTATTATGAGGTGATGTTTTTTGCTTTATGAAATTAAAACTTTTTGGTTGAGTGTTTATGATCTTTTTGTGGCTGTTTGAGCTCAAAGCTGCAAACCTCCTCATCACTACTCTTTTGTGTAAGCAACACATTATGACGACATATCTGTGTTTGTGACAAGAGAAGAACTCTTGTCATGTGCTTTTTTTGGTACTATGAAGAATTTTGAAGCACTTGCAAAGCATAGAGAATAATCCATCTCATTTTTTAGTATTTGCAATTTCTTCTATCATTGCACTTGCAACTTTATTTCTTGCTATCACATATCTTGTACACATGTGAATCGCCTTTATGTGCCCTGATCTTATCAGGGTAGATAGATAGCGCTACAATAGCTTCGAATCAATTGTGTCTAACCTACTATGCTCCAATTCATTGACAGACCCCCATTGAACGGTTGACTTCACGGATGACAAACAACTTACAATCTTTAAAGTGCTCCTCTTAGATCCCAATTAGCAAGCTTAATCGAATGATATGACCTTCATTCCTTGGACAAACATCATCACTGGAGATATCATGCAACATTCTCATCTTGCGGTATTATAGCATTATATTATGTACTAGGTGTGAAACCCGTGTACTACATGGGTTGATTAAAAAAAATTATATTTGAAGATATAAACTTTAAATATTTTTTTTAAAGAAGACATTAAATATCAAAGTGTAAACATTAAGTATTTTTTGAAATAAAATTTCAAAACAAACAAAATGATTAATATTTTGACCATGTAACATTTTTTTTAGTTTGTCAATAAAATGCAACAAAATTTGATTATTTTTTTTTATACATACCATTTTGCCTAAAATGACAATGTACTTTAAAATAATATATATTGAAGGAAACATATTAAAATTTGAAAATATAAGGAAACAAATTAATGACACATTAATTACTTTCTATAACCTAAAAATTAGATAGTTAATTAAGAAAAAAATCAAAAATTACCACAAAATGACAAGTGGAAATTAATTTCTAAGAATTAACCACAAAATTACATGTGTCCAAATGCGTAAGAAGTTAACAAGTGGCAAAAAGTTCTTTATTTATTATGGAGGATTCCGTGCTGATCGTTTTAATGTCCCAACGTCCTTTAAGGACCCCAAAAGCATGTTCTATGTCTTTTCTTGCTGATTCATTTAACCTTTTCTTTTGTCTTCGGTTAGTGGATGTGGATATGACTTCATAAATACAACCCAAGCTGGATATATTTCTTTCACGGGATAAGTAACATGCTTGTAATGTTCGTTGTTTAGGTTAATGAACACTTGAGTGTTGTTCCATAATATTTATCGTCAAACAATGGTGATTGGAAGAGGATCTTCAAATCATTGTTCAAACCGGCTACACATAGAATGCATGTTAAAACCATAAATCTTGTGATGCTATTATTTCTAGTATCATCGTTGGATAATCATAATCATGATCACCCCTCATGTATTGTTGGATAATTCTAGTTAATGTCACCAAGCATTTCAGGGAATCCATGTCTGGGCTTCACACAAAAGTTGAAAGTTAGTGGATGTTGGACGGTGCAAATACCCAACCTTATAAAGTTGGACAACATCATAGCAGAAGTTTAGAAGACTTTCACATGAAGTTCTTTCTGACATATTCAGATACTCATTTAACGAGTCTAGGTTAGCAGAAGTTTTGAAGACTTTCACGTGAAGTTCTTTTGGACATTATCAAATACACATCTAACAATTGGGGTTGCTTCTGTATGCTATTTGACGTATTGTTGAGGTGCATTTTTGCAACGTACTGCTTCTCTGATATGTATCCCATGTTTGAAAAAAAGGACAATTCATCTTCAGGGCGCCAACAATACACCTAAACAAATCTTTGATTATTCGGATTGTAGAGAGAAAATAAATATAATTGAAGAAAATTTGAATGAAATTGAAGGTGTGATTGTTTTTGAAGTTAAAGATGGTTATTTATATTGTTATTTTTTTTTAATTGTTGACCAATCACCCATCAACATAACAAAAAAAAAAAAAAAAAAAAGAGAAAAAAAGGGGGGGGGGGGAGAAGATATCAAAGACATACATTATTGAAAATAACGATTATATGTAATTTGTCATTATGTAAAAGTGTCGGTAACATTTATAAGTGTGTAATATTATTATATATGTGACATAAAGTCTTATGTAAAGTAATGATGGATTGTTTGAGTATGATATGATTATATTGGATATGTTTGGATAGAGTTCTGCTATTCAGAAATAGAAAATTTATTTCAACAGAAGAAGATTGAGAACAACTCAAATCTATATCACAAATCACTCTGCTTTATTCACTAAGGGCAAAGCCCTTTATATAGGCTTCAAAGAGCCGTTTACACACGAGATCTTTACATTATTGCAATCGTTTGATTGCAAGAAGACAAACTACTTTATATAAGACTTTATGTCACATATATAATAATACTACACACTTATAAATGTTACCGACACTTTTACATAATGGATACTATCATTAAGAAATAAAAGTAATCTAACAATTGAAAATATCTTGAGACATATTTATGGTATTAAGTCTTCTTACGATAAATATTTTAATTGTTGATAACTTTTTTAAATATGAATATTTAGAAACAATGGTTATTTATTATTATGTTTATGATGCTGCATATATTCTTATTAACGATAGATTGAATATGCAAACTAATAATAAGAATAATAAGAACGTTACTTAGCTCTGATACCAAATTGAAATACACATTTATAAACATGCTCTGATACCAAATTAAAATACACATTTATAACGATTATATGTAATTTGTCATTATGTAAAAGTGTCGGTAACATTTATAAGTGTGTAGTATTATTATATATGTGACATAAAGTCTTATATAAAGTAGTTTGTCTTATTGCAATCAAACGATTGCAATAATGTAAAGATCTCGTGTGTAAACGGCTCTTTGGAGCCTATATAAAGGGCTTTGCCCTTAGTGAATAAAGCAGAGTGATTTGTGATATAGATTTGAGTTGTAAGAACACAACGGGTTTAGGAACTACCCTAACACCATTTGCAAGGTATCAATATCTCAACAGGTTCGCACCTTTGAGGTACCGGTAGCACCACCGGCCATCTGCCAGAACTCGCATCCCGTACGGTCTAACCCTTAATAAGAGAGCTTACCATTTTGTGACTAAATTGTGGCATGTTTGGTATGATGAAATTGAATCACATCCATAAAATAATAATAATAAATATTTTATTGTTATGTTTCGTTTAGTTAAGAAAATAGTAGAATAAATCTACGATATTAGAAACCCACATAAAGACAAATGATATTTTTTTAGTAAAATATCAATCAACTCCCAAAATTACAATACAAAAATATTGCTAGATATCCATGAAAAATGAAGACAATAATTTATTTGAAATTGAAAATCTTAAAAACGGTATCATTATTGAAAAGTTAAAATTTTATGAATAAAAAGTAACTTACAATTAAAATATATTATTACATTTGATTCATCAAAGAATGAAAAAGAAAACCCCTCCGAATTTCATTATTACATGACAAATATGACCTTTTATCCATTTTCATTTTCCTTCTTATTCCACTTTTATTTGTTTGTTGCACATACTATCTCTAATGTTTGGAATTTCATCTAAAAACTCCTTTTTAATTTATTGACTTCTTGAAAAATCAATAAGTTAAAAAAAATGTTTGAATACTTAATAAGGACTTTTAAAATAACTTTTGGTTTAGCATTTGAAAATGAGTTTTGAAGAAGTTACAAATCTTGAAATGACTTATAACTTATTAGAATAAAAACCAAACAAAACTTAATAAGTTAACCAAACATTTTTGTAACATATTGACTTTTGTCACTAAAAAGCTAATCCAAACACTTTTTTAAAATCTCATTTTCCACATTGATAAGTCAATAAATTCTTTTAGATAAAAGTCTTTTTTAACTTCAAAATGAAATCCCAAACACCTTCTTAGTCTTACAACTACATTTTTTTTTTATTATATATATGACAAAAATGCAACAAGTACAAATTGAATCTAACCCAAAATACAACAATCCTTATGGCCCAAATTGAATCTAACCCAAAATACAACAATCCTTATGGCCCATTCTATGAAGTGAAGCATATCCATCAAAAAGTAATCAAATACAAAGATGATTGTGTATGATTGTAAATCCAAATCCAACTCATTCAGATTCTTAGTACTCAAAAAATCAACAAGTCCTTTGCCAAAAAATGTCACACATATTTGACATGAACCAATTACACATAAAGATCACACCAAATTCAAGGCTGCACAGCTTCAAGCAGTTTCTCATATACCTGTCTACCTGTCAAATCTTCCACCTGTTCCCCAATAATGTCAATCAAATTTAGATGCTGCCTTTTTTATACCATAAAACACTAAAAAACAAAATTCAAAATAAGGTAACAAAATTTTGACAAACAGTTTATTCAACTCACCACAAGAAGCTTAGACTTGCTATTCCACCCTCTCTGAAGTGTCATCTGACTTAGTCTCAAACCTAACACCTAAACCAACACAACAAAATCACATATCACATATATGATATTCTTCACCTACACAGCTCAAAAAACTCAAATATTAAATAATAAAATAAAAAAAAATATAAAAAGTAAACAAACCTTCCCCATAAATTCTAAAAGTTCATTGTTAGCTTCCCCACGTGCTGCAGGTGCAGCCACAGTAACTCTAACATCATCAGCGTTCACTCCTACCAAAAAATTAAAAACAAAAATAAACTCAAAATAACATGTATTATTATTATAAATTTATAACACAAACCAATTTTGTCAAAAATATAGATTTACTTGTGATTGCTGAGCGTTGTGCTCTGTCCTCCACTTCAATTGCCACCTGGACAAGTCCTCCTTCTAACTGAGAAATGCAAGGTGGCACAGGTGCATCCTGTAACATAAAACAATATAAATATTATTAAAAAAAAAAACCCTAAATTGAGCATTTATACAGGTCCTAATCGCTTATAAGGTTATCATCTTGTGAGTTTTATTGCAAAAGCCATGGAAATTACAATTACAATTACCTGGGGATTAGTTTCTGCAGCAACTGTACTAAGTGCACCATCAACAACATAAATGAAAGAGGCAGATTCCAAGTCTTCTTCAGAACGATAGCAAACAAAGAGTCCACAACCTATACAGTTCATGCGAAATTGCTTTTCTAATTTCCCTTCACCCCTATAAGAAATTCAGTATTAGTTGCTAATAAATTAAGATATGTTTACGTTTTCACAAGTACCAAAGAAGTGTAAAAAGCTTACCTCTTTAGGAGAATTTTGCCGGCTTCATTTATGTTCAATCGTGTAAGATGCTTTTTCTTGTCCAAAGCATATGCTTTGTCGGTTTTTCGTTTGGGCATCTTCTGCAATTGCGTATCTACAATCTTACTTTAGTATGGGAAAATTGTAGAGAGAAATGGTGAAGCAATGCGGAAAATGGATATGAAGTTTGGATTTGCATAAGAAGATCATATTCAGAACTAGGTCTAAAACAGAGAAAAAAAAAGGAGTCGGAATGTAATTTGAAGTAAGCTAAGACAAGAAGCCTATGATTTTCGAATTTTCCAGTATAACTTTCGCCGAAAAGAAACAGTTTTTGGTTCGCTTCAAGTTAATTAGGGTTTCCTTTTCGAATTGTGTTGTTTCAATCAAATTGACAATATGCACAAAGGAATTTGCAGAGAACAATATACAAATAATAGGATTACAAACTAAGATACATAAATTTTACATAAGAGAAAGAGAGAGGTTCACCGGTAATGAGGACGTGAGAACTACAATGCTTGCAGTAATAGACGAAGAGATCGGAATCTGGTCCATCTGGCGCTGCATCCTCGCTCGAGTATGTGTGAGTCGTCCTCTTCGGCATATTGTTTATTCCTTGTCGACCTCACTGCCACGCTCACACACCGGCTCCGGTGAAGTTCGGAAATCTAGCCGGGGAAAAGCAGATATCAACAGGAGAGTTGAGACGTACTCAAAAGAAGGACTAGCAGCGACTTATAAAAACCAATCCTCATTTTATTCTAGTGAGTAGACTATATAATTACATTTTTTACTCCTCAAGTAACATTATTTTGCAACTTTGATCACTTCAATTATTTAACATTATTTCAAGCTATTGCTTTTAAAACGACTTTTAACTTTTTCAAAAAGTCAAAAAATACCAAAAGATGTTTGGCTAATGAAAAAGATCTTTTAAAATAATTTTTTGTGTAGAATGAAAGGTTGGTTTTTCAAAAGTCATAAAATCCTATCTTTTTGTATCTTTTGAGACTTTTTAACTGAAAAGTTGTCTTTTACCCTAAAAACAAATACAAACACATTTTAAAAAATTTCTTTTAGAAAAAATCAGTAGTTAAAAAGTCTTTTTACAAAAAAGATTTTTAACCTTAAAAAGTAATCCCACACACCCCGTGTACATAATCATATTTGCAGAGCATCTTTGGATTAGAGGCTTATATTTGTGGTGTCATTTAGTTCGGTTTCATGGTTCAATTTGCAGGATTCAGGATCGAAAGGTTGGACTTGAGGAAAAATGGATAAAAAGCTTGGATTATTGAAAAAAGAAATAAAAAGGAAGATGTTTTAAAGAAGATAAAAAGACATGAGAAAGAAACTCAACATGCATGGTCATGCACAATACAAAATGTCATCTATTTTGGATTGTATAACCATGCAAACAGATTTGAAAATTAAGACATTTAAATACTTAAAGGGAAATTAGGTTTTAATCGGTTCCTAACTTATCTTGTGAGAACTCTCTCTTCTTGGACTAATTTTGGGTTAGAAGACATCTTATTTGATATTTTTGAGTTAGTTGTGGTACGATTTACTCACTTTTACATCATTGATTGTAGTAATTTACCCACCGTATGTGGCTAAATCTCTATATACTTGACTTTTGCATCATTGAAGCAGTAATCATTAATCTTTGTAGCTTTGAATTACTATATTTATGTTATTATGTGAGATGTATATATTATTTTGGAAATTAAATAATTTAACTATTATAAATGAATTTTTCAAAAAAAAAATAATATTTTTTTTCAAAATTTGAAAAGTAATCTCTTTTCCCGGAATGTTTTCATTCCGGAGTATTGTTTAATATTCCAGAGTTTTTTTTTCAAATAAATCTTTTTATATTTTTTGGGATTTTGAATGTTACATTTCAAAGTCTTTAATGTCATCATTTTTCAATAAAATGTCTAATTTTATACACTAAAATGTTTTAAAGAAGATTAAATGGGTCACATCACTATGTTTTTTTACCTTTTTGTAAATTTTATGCATGGTTTTTTTTTTTCTCAAAATTCCGGAATTGTTCATCGGATTTCAGACTTGTTCTTGAAATTCCAAAGTTTATTTTATTTTATTTTATTCAGAAATCCAAAATTTTAGTCCGAAATCCGAAATGTTGGTCCGAAAATCTGCCCCAAATGTTTTTTTTTGTCAGAAAAAATGGTTTTTTGGATTGCCCGTTTTAGATCAAGTGGTTATTTTTTATAAAATTAAGTTTTTTTTGGTTATTTTCTTCAAGTAGACATTAAAATGTAATTAGATTACTGAATTTTCGTATTATTTTTCCATTGAAATCTTGTTTTATCTATAGATTCATGATCATATTATTAAGTTTTCAACAAAACCGGCCATTTATTTGGATATTTTAGTTATATGTTGTTCATTTAAACCTAGTATTCGTACTTGTCTAAAGGTTTAAACGGTATAAGTAAATGATATGCATTTTTGTAGAAAAATTTGGTCATCTTTTTTTATATTAATGTAATTTCAATCTTGGTTTATTCATGACGGAGCTAAAAGTCAGGGTTTTGAGTTAGAATCTCATAACTTTCAAAAATAATCTCATAACATTTGAAAATGAATATTTTCTTTCAAAAACATAAGTTTAACCTTAGTAATGACTAAAACCATTTCAGGAAAACAATCGAAAAAACGTTTATTGTTAACAACTTAGAGGGTGTTTGGGATTTCATTTTGAAGTTAAAAAAGACTTTTATGTAAAAAGACTTATTGAGGGAAAAAGAGATTTTAAAAAAGTATTTGGTTTAACTTTTTAGTGACAAAAGTCAATAAGTTAAAAAGTATTTGGCTAACTTATTGACTTTTGCTTGTTTTTTATTCTAATAAGTCATAAGTCATTCCAAAAAGTCACAAATTATAACTTCTTCAAAACTCCTTTTCAAAGGCTAAACCAAAAGTTATTTTAAAAATCCTTATTAAATATCTAAACACTTTTTTTTTTAACTTATTGACTTTTCAAAAAGTCAATAAGTTAAAAAGGAGATTTTAGATGAAATCCCAAACACCCTCTTAACATCAATAGTCTTAACATTTTATGTCAAAATCAGTCAGTTGATCAAATGTTCATTTGTTCCTACTTAATTAATCTTCTGATTTAGTAGTGGGTTGTATCAATAGAATAACCCATTTAAATATGTTCACAATACCTTTTTGAGATTTGATACTATAATTCAACAATAAGGACAAATCCAATAAAAACTTCATTTTTTTCTCAGAATCAATGAGTCTTCCAACATAAATCCATAGTCACTAAACAAAATCAAAATTGGAAAGATAAAACCGATAGATGGTTTTCCATTTGATAGATCAAAGAAAATCATAAACCATGAGCTCACATCTCTGCAATCACAAAACCAGTCACATTAGCAAATTAATCAATCATATAACTTCAAACAGTATTTGATATTTGATTAAAACAATGAACTTACAGATCTTGTTGAAGGCAACAATATCACAGCTCTGAACATACTCATTAATGGGCTCTTCACAAAGCCTTTCTTCAATAAGTGTATCAACAGACACCAAATCATCAACAATAGTCATCATGATCTGAAGCTTCTTGATTCCATACCCAACTGGAACAAGCTTTGCTGCAATCATTACAAAAAATATTCCCAAAATCATATAATTAATCATCTATCATTTTCCCATTTTATTAAAAAAGAAAAGATGAATAACATACATGCACCCCAAAGCAAGCCATCCAAATGAACACTTCTCACAGCCTCTTCAAGCTTCTTCATGTCAGTTTCATCATCCCATGGCTTTACATCCATCAAAACTGAAGACTTTCCAGCTAATAATCATATATTATAAACAAAAAACAAAGTCAGTAAAACAATTAAATGGTAAAATTAAAGATTAAAATGAGAGCACAAAGTATCTTGAACTCACATTCTTTCTTCTTTCCAGATGCTTTTGCTTTTGCTGCACGTTCTTCAGCAGCTTTCTTTTCCTCTTCGGTTTCCTCACCAAAAAGATCCACATCACTGTCTTCATCTTCATCAACTGCAGCCTAATAAATGTAATACAAAAAATGAATAAATCAACAAAACCAAATGTATAATCATTAAGCAATTTATGGAGGATTTATGTGAAACTTACCTTTGTTCCATTAACAGGAGGGGTTGCAATGGCTTCTTCAGGGAAAGAAGCAGATCCCTCAACAGTAACGCCACTTCCTTCAGCAGAAACACCACTGGAAAGAAGTGTGATGTGTAAAGATTCTGAATGAAGTGTGAAAAAAAATGAGGATTGAGATTTTAGGAACTTACGAGATTCTTAGAAGTGCATCAATGTGGTTGAACCAACGAGATACATTGACATATTGGGATGATGGTTGTTTTGTGAAAGCAGCATGAACAGTGAGATCATCCTTTGAAGCTTGGTACCTGTGATAACAATGGTGAGAAGTAATCTCATTGAGACAATGAAGAATCAATCAGGTGCTTTTCAGATGGTAATTTTGACTCACCCAGTGATGTAACTACGGGTTAAGAGGTACTCATCGAGCTTCTTGAGACCAGCTTCTGAACCAACATAGAATGTAGGTGCCATTTCTGGATGATCGAGTATTCTCTTCTGCAAGTAATAATTCGTAAGGTAAATATATGCAATCTAATAAGAAATGTGAACAAAATTTCATATCGGTGTATTTGTATCAAATCCTAGTTCATATTTGCAATTGGATGCCAACAATCATGTCTCTAAACAAGTTTCTCTAATGTTTTAATACATTGAAGACATTATTAGCCCTGTTAACTTCGTAACCTAAATGAACTCGGATCTTAAGAATAAGATCAAAAATCAAAACTGTCGAATCAGGACATAAGAGTAACACAAGAATACTTGGTGGATTGCAACTTAATATCAATTACGCAACTTTTTCGAAACCCTAACCATCGTTAGAACTCAATATGACTATACACACTAACTAGAATTAAAAATCATGACGAGCGTACAGATCCGCAAGTATATATATATATATATATATATATATATATATATATATATATATATATATATATATAAGAAACTAAAGAAACAGTTTGCGCTGGTTTTGAAAGTCTACAGATGCAGATTTCATATGATCAGAAATCAATTAAACAGAAGGAATTAGAGAACACTAATTCATCAGTCATACCTTCTTCTGAGAGATACGATAGCAACCTTGTTCGTAAGTTCGGCAGTCGGCTGAGATGAAGACTTGAAGTGAAACCCTACTCTAATTTATAGCAGAGATAAATAGGAGCAAAAATGTCATTTCTACGGAGGCCTTGGAAAAATAAAATTACAATAAACCCCTAGTGTTTGAGGAGTTTAAACTTTTAAGACTATCTTCATAATTAATTAATAACAAATCTTCAAAAACGGTTCCTATGGTTTTTCAGACAATCAACTTGAGTTTCTAATTTTTCTTTTGTCTTATGGGGGGTCCATGTGGTTTAAAAACTTTTTACAGATAGTCATTTTGGTTAACACTGTTAGTTTTGGTCTGTTAAGTCATAACATGTGCAGTGCATGTGATGGTAAATTTGTCTTTACAAACTACATTGACCATTTATGAAGATTTGTCTACATTTTATTTGTTTTCAACTGGCTCCCAAATCTCCCCCACTATCAAACGTAAAAGAAAGCCCTAGCTCGTTTACATGCCTTTTGCTTGAACTGGCATACGAAAGAAACCCACAAAATTCTTCACGTTCGCCTTAACGACTGACGTACGCACATAATTTTTTCTTCGTGATCGCTACTTCACCTCGAATCGAAGAAAGCACCAACCCAAATTAGATCGAGTGTTTAGTGACTTGAGTGCTTGACGAAGTTAGCTTGAAGAAGTCAACAAACCAGGCAAACCTTCTTTCGATCTTTGTTCTTGATTATATTAAATTCGTATTGTTTTGAGTGATTTTACCATCAAATAATTGTAAGTTTGGTGAAGATCTGGTGATTTAGGTTTATATATGTTACGTGCCTATTGCTTTCACTATTATGTGCATCCGATACTTTCTAATCACAATGTTTTTTCTTGCAAAGTTTCAGTTCGCACTTGTTCAAAACAAATTTATGCTAATTTTGGTTCAAAATGGCAAGAACAAAGCTTCAAGACTATGATTTTTTTTTTTTTATATCTTTGTTGCTCAAAGCCTTAATGACTATCTGTAAAAAGTTTTTAAACCACATGGACCATTCATCAGACCAAAAAAAAATTAAGGACTTAACTTGATATTCTAGAAAACCACATGGACTATTTATGAAGATTTGTCTTAATTAATTAGTGTTTTGTTTCTAATTTTTCATGTACTTTTAGAGAAAAAATAATGACAGGTCAACTTTAATCTTTGATCTTGCATGTCAATATGGTTACATTATAAAATTATTTTACCTTGTATGTCAAACATACTCATAATTTAGAAAACCCTTTGTTTTTTTTTTCCAAAACCACTGCATTTTTGTATGTTAAACATCAAATACTGAGGTTACTTGTTAAATCAATACTTTTTGCATATTAGGGGATTTGGTTTTTCATTTTCAAACACTGAAATTTCCTTCAATCAAGGGAAATCAAATACTGAATTTATTCTTCATTCCTTCATCAATGAAGACAAACATGCTCAAATTTGATACATCTCTTTTTTTCATAGAAAAGTCAAAAAAAAAATGTCTCTATACACGTAGAAATAGTCCAACTATAAAACCAGTTTCAATAGTTGCAACCAGCTCAAGTCATGTTAGTCTTTGAGGTTTTAACAGAAAAACAAAAATACAACTGCTTTTTGTTTATTTACATAAATAATTAGAAGTCGCAAGTTAATGAATGCTATTCGTGAGAAGAATCAAGAGTTTTGCAAAACCCATCCAAACCTTCGGAACTAAACCAGTCTTTCTTCATCTACAAACACATAAACATACAAACGAAACAAATCTAAAATCAAAATCAATCACTCAAAAGATTATTAGTTGCTTCATTCAAATGTATATTAGAACTTTTGTTTTTTTACAACTTAGTTTTTCTATAAATTCGGTTGTACAAAAATAGTTTTTTTTTTTTTAATAAAAATACTTTTTACAACTTTTTGCCTTAATTTTTTCTACAACTTCAGTTTTTTTACAAATATGTAAAAAAATGAATTTTTACAGCCTTACATACATGAAAATGAATATGCAAAATAATTAGAAAACGAATTTGTAAAAAAAAAAAAAAAACTAATTTCTTAAAAAAGAAAAAATCTTACAAAACATGCATAAAAACGAATATGTAAAAAAGTAGCTTTTACATGTTTTTCACAACCTTACATGCAGAAAAACAAATATGTAAAAAAATTTGTAAAACAAAAGTTGTAATAAAAGTAATTTTGTGAAAACTAATTTCCATTCTACAAGCCAACCAAACATGATCATAGAATGTAATGCCTCATTCCATTCATTTGTGATTCCATTCCATCATATATACCAAACATACCCTTTATGTATTATTCAAGTAAAGACTCAAATCATTGTGTAAAAGAAAAGAAATGTGGCAAAAGGAACTTACAAAATAAGGATACCCATTTGATATGCTAAAACTTTCAGGAGCATTCTCAACAAAAAGCTTTATATAATAAAGAGCAAAAAAACCACATTCCTGATTATCTCTCTGCTGTGGAACCTGATAATTCAAAACTCTTTGTTTCAATATTATCATTCAATAAATCAAATTAAAAAAAAAATCAAGAAATTCTATCAAGTCACCTTAGGAACTAAAAATGGCATTTTACGCAACAATTTTTTATCCTCTGTCCTCTCTAAATTCCTGTAGATATCAGAAACAAATCTGACATGGCCAAAGTCAGCAATCTGTCATGAATGGAATGGAATCTCGGATTCCAATTCCACCATAATTAATGAACCAAACAAACCCTAGAAATATAAAAAGACAAAATTACAAAAATCAAACATTACTTTCTTACTACAGGTTCCAGTTGCTTGGAATGATCAGCTTTTGCTAGTGAATCCAGCAATAAAATGCATGGAGTTTTGAATTTTGATCCTAAACTTTCACCAAAGTGACAAAATATCAACACACTCCAATGACCCCTAACAAAATCACATTCACTTTCCAATAAAAAAAAACATAAGAAAATATGCTAAATTGATGTATTTTAGGAATTACTCACCACTGAACAATGGGAAAAACCACATATTTTCTAGAAAATATGTCCTTTTTCTTGATCCAGTTCAACACCTTTTCTTTGTTGGAGTCACTAGAGTACAAAGTATACCACAATGGATCAAGATGTGTGAATGAACTCTTTTTATCCTCTGGAATGCTGAGCCATAAATTCCTACATGATATACAAAAACACGTAAAATTAAGGGTTTGTTTAGTATGATGGAATGGAATGGACCATTACATTCCATTCCATTATCATGTTTGGTTCGCTTGAGGGAATGGAATGAGCCATTCTAATGATTGTTGTTTGTTATGTTTAATTAAAAAACTTAATGAAAGTAAATACTATTGGTTATTGAAAATTATATACATAAATAAAAATAAAAGGTTTAGCTTACTCTAGGTAACTATGAACTTTATCAGAGTTCAACTTCTTAGCTTGATTTACCATATTGCCACGGTTCCCTCTTCTTTGTCGAGTAATGGTGGTTGGATGATGGTCATCCTGAGAGTCGCTAAGCTCTTCAATTGCTCTTTTTTTACTTGTTTCTGGAGATGGATGCATCAGGTAATCTATTCTGCGAGTAATTTGTAACGTAAATATATGCAATCTACCCCTTACCCCATTCTCATTACATTAATTCTGCAAAAGGAATTTTCTCAAAAGTAGTCCAAATTCCTTGGAATGATCATAAAGTAATTTCGCAAAACTAAAGGGATTTTTGCAAAATGTGTGGTTATTTTAGGAAATTTATGAAAATGGTGGTCATTGTTCCCTCTGTATCAAATCAGGATAGAATCGGAAATTGCAAAATGTGTGATTATGCAACTATGTCTGAAAAGAAGAAAGCACGCATAAAATTAATGACGAGATCAACTATGGTTTGGAAATAACCATATCAGAAGTAGTCATTAGAGAATTGCCCTCGTTATGAAATGTATAGAAACATATGTTTGACGTGAATTATAGATTCATCGACCGAATGACTTTTAAACTGAAATGTAGAACCCTAATTCTGCGATTTAAGAATGGCATACCTGAATGAATCTCGTCTCACTCACTTGTGCGCAACGTGGAGCGATCGGATGGGTCGAAGCAAAAAATAGAAAGAAAAAAGTATACTGATTTATGTAACAAAAACCTTCTACGTTGTACTATGTGCAGCAACACACGCTAACAGACACCAAAAGAAAAAGGAATTTAAATCAAATATTTTAACCCATTGGATTTCCTAATATATGCTAGAAATATTAATCGGTGATATATATTACCATAATTAAATTCAAAATACATTTATTATTGAGATTATTAATGCATTTCATATTTAATTATGGTAATATTTCTTATAATTAATGTATTTTATAATTAATTATGGTAATATATACCATCAATTAATGCTTCTTATATGTGCCCTTAGGGCACATATTAGAAAATCACGTTAGTTAAATGGATTTATGAATATTAAATGCCTAAGTTTACGGTTAAAATTTTTAACTCCAGCTATTCATTTTGTGAATTCTTTAGATAGTCCTAGAACACTCAAACCCAAAACCATCCTTAAAAGAAAAAAAAAATTTGTGGGTTTAGTTATTTTATAATGGAAAATTGTCAAAAAATTCTCAATATTTTCAAGAAAGTTATACTTTACTCTCAATATTTTTGTTTAACATAAAAGTCTCGATTATTTGTAAAAACACGATAATATGTCATTTCATGTTTAAAAAATTGATTTTTTTGTAAACTTGAGCCAAAATGAAATAATCGAGACTTTTATCAGTTTATGTTCAAAAAAAATCTTTGGGCTAAAGTATAATGTTCTTGAAAATATTGAGACTTTTCTGACAATTTCTCTTTTATAATATGGAAACAAGTTAGGGGTTGTTTGATAGTTATTGATTGGGTAAGACCTGACTGGGTCAGAATCTGACTGGGTCAGAAAGTGACTGAGTCTGAAGCTCTGACTATATCTATCTCTGATTGAAACTATGTTGTTTGATTAGACATCTGACTGAGTTTACTGACTGCTGAAAATGATTATTTTACCCTTGTATTATGTTTTGTGCCGATTAAAATGTATTTGTTTGTTTGATAAAATATCTTTAAATAAAATTGATGATTAGTTATAAAAAAATATACAAAATATCATGCAAAATCTAGATTGAACAACAATAATTACAAGGTTTATAAACAACAATAATTGTAAAGATGAAACAAAAACATAAAGGATTCCATATATGCTAAAACTCCATTTTAATTATTACATGAAACAATGATATAAAACTTCGTGGGTATATGAGCAATAAGACACAATACTATAGGCTTCAATTTCCCAACTAACAGATCACATCAAAGTCGTACAAAAATCTGGAGGCATAAGAAAGCAACCTACATAATACAGAAAGAATCAATTTTTCCCTTTAGTTAGAATAGAAAAATACTTTGAACATAACCAACCAAGTTGGGATTCGACACAAAAATGACGAAATTAACAACCACAACACCAATCTCAAAAACACAAAATTCGAAATCCATTCAGCAAACCTAAGCACAACATCGCCATACAAGTTGTAATCAAATCCCTAATATAGTACTGAACAGATACAAATAGATATGTCAAACACAAAAAGCAAACAATTTAGATCTAGATAATTAACCTAAATCGATGGAACAAGATAGGAAGAAGTCGATGGTCGACGACTCTGTTATGGTCGGTGAAGCTGCTCTGATCGACGGCGCTGCTACCTGCGGTGGCCATAGAAGTCGACGGACGTAGGCAGTTGAAGTCGCCGGACATTGGCGTTCGGTGGAGGAAGTTGGATTGGCCGGATCGACCGGAGGATGAAGTAGAGGGGGACGTTGGAAGCGGGAGATGAAAAGAAATAGAGACATTAATTTGGGGGCACAAAGGGCAAATGTTTTATATTCACCACTGTATTTTTTTGCTTACCCAGTAGGAGGCAGATTTAACTGAAACTTAGGGCTTCTTCACTTTAACAGGAGAGCGAAACGAAGAGACGTGAAAATGAAGATACGGGGAGCTTCCTCGCTCTTTTTTCTAGGTTGTGGACGGTTGAAGGTTGTCGACGATGTATCTGGGTGGCGATGATAGACGGAAAGAGGCAGAGTGTCTACGTTGGTGATCAGACTGTTCGTGGTTAAGGTTAATTTGAGAAAAGTATGTAGGTGGCAGAGAAGGTGAAGCATGCCCGACTGTGGTGGTTTGAGGCGAAAGGAGGCAGAGTGACGTCTAAGGTTTCAATGGTGGTAAAGATCGACGGCTAGGGTTTCTGGAGAGACCCATGATAGATCAATGTGATGAGGGATTCAAGGGAACTTCTATTAGAATGTCTCTTCAAGTTTATATGAACCAAATGAACAGAAACTGCAACATATGAGGAAATTCCGAGATAAATGAATGAACCAAGTCAAAACAACTGCTTAATAAGAGGGGAGATAAGAGTTCCTTGACTTTTTCAATAGAACAAATAATTTCAATGGATAAACTTGTTGATCCACAATTTATTGTCACGTTTTCTATAATTTCCTAACAATTAGGTTTTGACTGTTTCATGCATGTTGACCGAATTCGTACTTATCCTTGTATACTCAATGTTGACCGGATTAGATTTCAAAGCATAAAGTTATTGTACATGAAGCAATAAAGGCTTGTACCTCTTAATTTTCAGCCTTTGATCAAATATGTATATTAAGGTATAATATATATATATATATATATATATATATATATATATATATATATATACTAGCCGTTTACCCGCGCCAAGCGACGAGTGTGAATAATTTCTTCAGAAAATTAATTCTTGAGGCAATTAGTTCAAATGTATAAACTTACACGATTAGAAAAAGAAAATAAACCATCCAAACAATCAAACTACAAGAATTATTGGTTCTAGAATAAATTTATATACTGATTTGAATCATAATAGTTATCCAAACATCCTCCCTTTAGCGACTTAAATAAAATCAACAACGTTAACAGTTGAATTTGCGATGTACTTTGATAGTCATTATCTTCTTCTTTTGCATCATTATATTGTTATGAAACCATTCGGTGATATTCATTGTACATTTCTTCTTTGACACCACTATGCCATAAATGAAATCAATCGATGGTTTAGTGGTATCTGCTGTTATTTTTAACAGCCCAATGGATAAGGTCGGGTAAGGGAAAAATTCTCATTTTCAAAAATATAACAACTAAGGTGTTAATTTTAACAGACCTGAGATCAGCCATGTTAAAATAATGGTTGTAACCCTTGTAATAAATAAGGATATAAATTTTAGTGTGCAAGGTATTTTGAAAGCCCTTCCTTTTATAATTTTAGTGCATCGACACAAACTAACTTGCAAATTTTGGAAATGCGATCAGCTTAGCTTCAAAGAATTATGAACTCTACATCTAATACTAAGTTGAATAATTGGATTATTTTTTTTTTGTCTATAACCATATTTCAATTTTAAAGTGTGGATTAAGATAATAATATTAAAGAGATCCATTTAAGGGTCGCAACAATTTATATACGATAACATTCAATATACATAAATAATGATAAATTCATATTCACATTGGTGAGAAATTTGTGTCGTATACGAACTTATAATAGTTTAGAAATGTAGTTCTAAGTATTCATTTTTTAGTAGATAATCTAATTGTTTTAAATACTAATAAAAAACCTTATTTCTGATATAAAATCTAAAATACAACATTCCAACAACTATTGTGATACATACTAATAAAAAACGTTGTCGGTGAATATATAATTTTTATTATAATAAACATTTACAAAAGATGTTTCAAGCATATTTTTTTAATAATATTTTAGACTAATAAAATTGTTTTTCAATCAATTTATATAATATACTTCAATATGAAAACATCTTTTGTAACCACTTGTAATAAAGAAAAATTGGATACACTGATGTATGATTGTATTTGTTTTGAAACAACAGAGCTAAAACCAAGCTTATAACAAATCCAATAACATATGAAGTAAGTCGATTTCAACCTACAAAACAAATCCAAGATCAAGTTTCTAATTTTCATATTGAATTTATTTTCATTCCCACATTTTATCCATTGGTTATTTGAAAGTGCAATACTTTAGTAGAGAACATCAAAAGCAAGTGAAACAAATATACGTACATCTTGTAATGGTGTAGTAGTAATGTATGATTGGAATGGTGTAGTAGTAATGCCTAATTGGTTGTTCAGTATACACTTCTTTGCAAAATATGTCGTATCCTTTTCAACAATCAATAAACAGAGGTAAGACGACTTGTAAATGATTAACTAAAAAAAACATTAATAATTAGAATGAAAGTTGAGTAATAATACATACAAGATTCCACTTGTTCCTCATATGACTCTTCGGATAGCTCCTATCTCATTAATGGTTTCTACAGCATCATTTAGCGGATAGCTACAAAACAGAAAAGAAATGAAGAAATAATAATCTAATAATGCATGCACATAATGGGGATGGGGTTATAGATGTATGAATAGTCGAAGAAAATAACATACTACTTCTTCAAGTCTTGTTGAATAGTTTTTGCACCTCTAGTCATCTATAAATTATAAATTGTATAATTAATTAGATTTAGATGAAATGAAAATTTGAATCTGCAGACTTACTGTTGATCCAAAGTCACCATCACCCAAATTGTTGTCCCACTTATTTAAACCATCAAGCAAAAATGGGTATAAATAAGCTAAAGAGCAGATTATTTTTAAAACCTAAAACTTACATCACCATGTTGCTGGCTTCCCACTCCAAGGTTGCCAATCAACTTCACTGATAACTTGAAAATCAACTTATTATAAACCAATGTGTTATCAAAATGGTCAAAGGAAAACAACAAAAAGAGCATAAGTTACCATGGATCATGAATGATATGACACATCCTTGCAATTTCTTTTCTTTGTCTCCTCAACCTCACCTTTTCCCATTACCAGATCTGTATACCAAGGTTTAACATTAAACAACAAAATAAATCACGAATGATAAACATTCTCAATGGACTTTCTTAACTAAAACAAAAGGTAAAGTTACTTTCATATATAAAAGCAAAAAACAACCCATTCATGGATAAAATCAATGCGGTGATAACCATTCCCTAATGCATTTCTTATTCTTATTTTGAAACTAAGTTACTAACTTTTGACATCCAAATTAAAAATGTACAACTGTAAGAACCTAAAATAAAATAACCAGTGGTATAAAGGAAATGTAGCTTTTTTTAACAACCAAATATCATAATTAATTAGGCCATGAAGACTTTTTTCAATTTTATTTTTACCTTATTCTCCTACATTGATTTTATATTTTGTTAAATTGTCTATTTTTGAAAGAGGATCTAAGAAACTAAGAAAAATATACATGCAAGTTTCAAAGATCCAAAGGAAAAATATACCATTCCTGTCGTCTTTTCACTTTGCTATATTTCTCTCTTTCCTCTTTCATAAAAAAAATAAACCTTCAAAAACATCATCAATATCATTAGTTTCAATTTTCCAAACATTTAGCTTGTGTATTTTACATAAATGAGCAGAAATTGCAACCATTACAAGTAATTATAACCAAAACAGATATATCAGTTTAGCCATGAACTAAATAAGTTTCTTTTTTGGGAAATTAAGTAATTTAATCATTATAAATGAGTTTTTCAAAACAATAATCATGTCCTGACTCCCGACCCATCAGATTTGGGTCTGTAACGGGCCTATATAAAAAAAGAAGTCTTAAATCTTAATTCAAAGGAAAAATAACGACAGTTCACCTGTTCACCAAGCAAACATAAGACGATCGTGTAGAAACAGATCGCTGAGATAATCAATTCAACCATGTCTTACATGAACACGGACCTAAAATACAATCACATAAGTTAAGTATCAGTATGTATGTATTCAGACACTATGTGTTGAGCCATTCACACAAAAGGGAAAATGATACCTGTGTTGGATAATGTGTGTATCCATAATCCTCTGTATCAACAACCCATGCATACCTATTGATGTTCATTAAACCAGGACTTGTAGCTTCAAATACTCCATGAAGCTTTCGATCACTGTAACTACTGAACAGAAATACAACAAGCCCTTCCTTTATGTTCTTAATGTATGAGAAATGGGTGGCTGATAAACCTGTAAAACAAAGGTCATAGACATTTACATTATCAGAGTTCTTCATGAGTAAAATATCAAGTTTAAGGCACCAAACCCGTATGAAAAAGGTCAATAAAAAATGATATATACCAGATAGTGTTTAAAATCAAAATAAAAAATGAAGAGAGGAAAATTCAATGGAAACACATACCTGGTTCATTTATTCTTTGAACTAGGAATTATGGCTTGTTTCGGAAGAGTGGTGGTGCCATGATACCCACCACCAAAACCGCCTTATACCGCCACCAGCACATCCAGTTTTAATCACCACCAACCACTATCCTCCACCACTAAAAATCGTAACCCATTACAGCCTCCCCACTGAGACCACTCAATGTGAACCTCCTATTCTAATTTTCTAAACAATAAAAAGAGAGGAATTAAGAGAGAGAGGGAGAGAGAGAGAGTGAGAGATAGAGAGAAAGAAAGAAAGAGAGAGAGAGAGAGAGAGAGAGTTTACCTACATTTGTATGTGAATTCGATGTGAGTAACCTGAAACAAAAAATTAGGTTGTTGTAAAAATATCAGAATTTGATCTTGTGAACCAGTAAAATTCTTGTAATCATAAATCGGAATCAAAATAGGTTAATGAATAGTTACAGTGAAAAGTAATCAAATTTTGGAATCGGATGCAATCTAAAATGAGAAAACTCCCGGATTCGAGTTGTGGGTTTAAAGAAATGCAATTGGTAAACAATACATGTTTTAGATGAAATAATGCACAAATTTGGTCAAAATCCATACGTTTAATTTCAATA